GAAATGGTGAAAATTACACTCACAATTACAACTCACACATTAGGAAGAGCTTGAAGAATGTATGACCTTAGATTTTTTTTATATAAAAATTTTCAGTAATGAAGCCACTTTTGACCTTAGGTCTCTAGTTGAGGCCCAGAAGGAAATGTGTATACAACAGAAATCAAAGGAAAATACTACTACTACTACTACTAATAATAATAATAATAATAATAATAATAATAATAATAAAAATAATAATATCATCAAAAATTCCAGTTGTAGTTGGAGCCCGCGGATTGATTGAAAAAGATTCCAATAGATTCACTGAAGGGATTCCTGGCAGCCCATGCCTTAAAGAAATTTAAAAAAATGTTCTCATATGTACAGCCCACACCTTAGAAAGGGCTTTATCTATGTAAAATATGCATGATTTATTTTTTTCAAAAGTGCTCCGTAGAAAATGTCATGATGCTATTCTTATCTTAGGTCTCTGGTTGGGACCCAGAAAGAAATGAGTATACACCAGAAATCAAAGGAAATAATAATAATAATAATAATAATAATAATAATAATAATAATCTTGAATCAAAGATTGTCTTTTGATGTCTAAGTGAAATTAGCTTTGGAGGAAAGGTCAGTAAAAATGAAAGTAAAATAATTTATTTGCACCCTTATATATATTAATCACGAAAATAGTACAATGGAGACATTGTCTTTAGTCATGTGGATGCAATAAGTCTGGGAATTTTTTTTTTTTTAAAGATATTTATGATATATCTTAATATATACATGTATATGCATGTATATGTTTTGCATCTGCCATGTATGTGAATCGACGTTTGCGGGCCCGCTTGCTTATATATGCGTACATGCTCACGTGTTGTGTGTATGTTCGTGCGTTATGTCTATTTATCAAGCGCACACACACGTGTGTGTATGTGTAAGTGAGCGTTTCATCGGACAGACAAGATCGTTCGCGCCAAATTCAGAAACACATCCGTTAATTAATTACACCGATTTTTTTCCTCTTCCCGTTAAACGTATTCCCCTACCCAGTCTCCAGAGCTCCTATTTACTCACACGTTAGCCAATAGAGGCTGTTCTGAATAATAATAATAATAATAATAATAATAATGATAATAATAATAATAATAGCTTTTTCTTATTCGGATCGTCTTACCTCTTCAGTCCTTCCTGTTGTCATTATTTGTTACGAATCCAAATGGCTAAACCGCTTCAATTGTTTTTCAATCTTCGTTCGTTGCCTTATTTTCTTGGGCGTTTCTTCAATCGGGTCTGTTTCATTTCAGTTTATTTTATCTTTTTCTTTCTTTCTTTCTCCTTTTCTTTTTTTCTTTCTTTCTATATTTCTTTCTTTTTCTTCTTCAATAACCACTATTTTAAAGTTATCTTTATCCTTCATTGACTTCTTTTTCTTCTTCAGCATTGTCCTCTTTTTACTCCTTTTATTCTAAACCACTTCTTTTTCTTCTCCCTCTTCATTTTCCGCCTCTTTTTCTTCTGTTTTTTTTCCTTCTTTAATCTCCTTCTTTGTGATGTTTCTTTTTCTCTCAATCATTTCTTCTTTTTTCCTCTTCCTCGTCTTCTTCCTCCTCTTCTTTTTATTCTGTTTTTTCGTCTTCTTTAATCTCCTTCCTCTTTTAAGTTTCTTTTTCTCTCTATCATTTCTTCTTCTTTTCTTCTTCTTTAACCTTCTATTCTTTTTTGCTTGCTTGTCTCAAAACTGTTTCTTCTTCTTCTTCTTCTTCTTCTTCTTCTTCTTCTTCTTCTTCTTCTTCTTCTTCTTCTTCTTTTTAGTCCTTTTATTCTGAACCACGTCTTTTTCTTCTCCCTCTTCATCTTCCTCCTCTTCTTTTTATTCTGTTTTTTCTTCTTCTTTAATCTCCTTCTCTTTTAAATTTCTTTTTCTCTCAATCATTTCTTCTTCTATTCTACTTCCTTACCCTCTTATTCATTTTCGCTTATTCGTCTCAAAAATGCTTCTTCTCATCTTTCTTCAACATCCTTTGTTTATAGACTTCTTCTTCTTCTTCTTCTTCTTCTTCATGATGATGATGATGATGAATTATTTTATATACTCTCTCTCTCTCTCTCTTCGTTGTAACTCACCATCGTTGATACTTACAAGATCATTATTGCACTATTAACTCCTTATACCCGAAGCCCACCCAAGAAAATGAAATTTTCAGTACTGGCTGCCTAAACCGGAACTATCTGCACTACTTTGACTTTCTCCAAGTGATTCTCATTATTATTACGGCTGTCGAGGTTATTCGACGTTGCCCGAGATAGACTCCGAGCTGAGATCATTATTAACCATGCTTGTGTGTGTTGTTCTCCTCTGATCTACATTTGTACGCTTACCGTCACTCTAATCGGAGGGGGTAGTGAGATTGGCGTACCGAGTTCTAATTTCAGTCGGGACGGTTACGTTCTCTTGAACGCAGATACCCTTGGAATGGTAGGAAACCATTTTTCTAGAGGTAGGGCTTGTCATTATAGTAGACTCAATTCCCTAAACTTGGTATCTAGAAGGACAATTCTAAATTCAAAATTGGTTGGATGTGAGACCAGCAATAAAACCAAAACAAAAAACAAAAAAAACACAGCACTGACGTCCAGCGTGTTAAGGCTGTGGCCTTATATTGCAGAGAGACGTATACAGGACATGCATAGGTGTCTTTTTCACGAACTTCTATATAATTTGAAATGGTATTTGGTATTTCATAGTTGGCCATACCTGTGACGTCACTACATTAGTCTTCATATGTGTCTTCAGGCTAATACACCAAAATTGCACATTTTCTGTATATTTTTTTTTTCATCAGGAGAAAGATTCCCGCGTAGTAATATATGGAGCAACACATATGGTCTGTATTGACTATCTTTATTTTTTCCAATTAGGGAAATCTTGCCGACTACTTGTCAGTGACGGAAAGGGTGAAGTGATTGGGTGCACTTCTCAGTCCTTACCTTTTGCAGACTATGTGTTCTTTACCAAACGGAAAACTATCACCAAAGCCTTTTGAAAGAAGAAACTCCTTCTTACCAGAAAACCTCGCCTTCTCGCTAGTTTCTGATTTGTCAATTCACGGACCTAGGAAAAGGCACCGCCACGTTCTGATTCTTTTCCAATTTTTTTGCTGAATATGTGATCACCAACTGACCCCGTCAAATATATCGTACTATTTCCAAATGGGCGGCTGTTTTTTTTTTATTTCTTCTTATTACTTAATTTTAAATTATGCTCCTTTATTTTGTACACACAATATTACATATGATTGATACTAATTGACAATGTTTCATTTTCAGAAATATTAATAATATTTCTACTAATACTAATATTAAAGGAAATGGTAAACATTAAAGAATACCCTATCAACCATCCAAGGAAAATTATCGCCATATGATTAGTATCCAATTTAGGTAACCGGTTAGTCTTTGTAGCCTGGTTGATCAGGTAGCTGTTCCGTACAGATAAGTTTCCGGAGAACAATGGATGTAAGTTCGAATTCTTTGTTTCCGATTGTTGTTTCTCAGTAATGAATAATTTTTGAGTTTATATTTACATTATTCAATGACTTGAATAAGTCGGCCATATACTTGGTGCTTTCTTAAGCTAAATAAGTAACTATTTGAACCTATGCCGCGTCTCCTAATTCGTTTCTGTTTTAATTTAACCTGTAGATTGACCCTTTCTTTAAATCCCTGTAACGATAACTGGACTAGGGACTTATGATGCTGACCTGAGATACCATTTTATAGGAGGAATATTACACATGCACACATTTAAAATACTGAAATGTAGAAGGTAAATACTTGTGAATTAACAAGTAAAAAGACCCCGGTATTCATTTCGAGTTTGATTTCCATGTTTAAACAGAAATAAATAGATTAAACAAGGTTGATCGATATGCAACGTGAAAGAAGGCAATTAAAATTGAAAGCTGCCCAATGTTTTATTTATTAGAACCTGCCCATTATTCATGTTCATGTCCATTATTTACCGGTCTTTGAGTTACGATCTGATTTGGGGGATAAAAGGCCAATAAATAAAGAAAGAAAAGAAAAGATAGGTTAGTCAAATCAAAAATAATACTGGTTCGTCACAGAAATTCATAGACCATATTTGACGGCCTAAAAGACAAGCAGACATATCAGACGCATGACCATTTCTAAAGAGTATATTCAGGAAAAGTAGTTTTTTGTTTATTGCTGGATGACATTTCACGTTCCCTATTTTACGCAGTTGAAAACATGGTGAAAAATTACTAGTTTGCTTTAAGATATATTCAATATTACATGCCATTTTTTCTCCCATTGGGTTATCAGAGCTCCATCGGAAGAGAGATTGGTTGATCGACATCTTTCTAGATTCCCTCATAAATCGTGTAATCGTCCGTATATATATATATATATATATATATATATATATATATATGTGTGTGTGTGTGTGTGTGTGTGTGTGTGTGTGTGTGTGTGTGCGTGCGCGCGCGCGCCTGTGTGCGCGTACGTCAATTAGTGTATGTGCGTGTATGTATGTTTGCGTAGGTATGAGTGGCGTCCCGACGACACTTTCCCCTCCCACTATCATAAAAAAACACAGATATACGCAACTATATATAAATCCAAAATTAAAAAAATTAATCAGTTTGTCTGACGATCGCAAATAGCGTGAAACCCAGGACAGAGAGGAACCCGGACGAGGCTATACCGAAAGGCAGTGTCTCGTCCGGGGAGGTAGACAGATATCCGATACCGCGCATGCGGGGTCTACGGGCAATTTTTGCCCGAGCCCACATTAAATTTGGCTTTGTGCTGCATCCTACCTCGAGGGGAGGCAGGTAAATATCGTAATATGCTGTCAAAGTTGTCCAATACTACCAGTGGTTTATCTACTTCACACCGCTGGCGAGTATTATATTTTGTTGATGTTATAAAGAATAACATTTCATTTTCAACCTCCGTTTTGTTTATTCCTCATTCAGTAATTTTTTCTAGGTTACAACAGATAGATAGATAGATAGATAGATAGATAGATAGATAGATAATGTTATAAACCGTACCTATGAACACTAATGGATATGTCCTAATCCTCATAAATACGTTAGCCACTATTGTAATTGGGGGTAATATGGTGCCTACATAGTCCACCACTAGCAGTGGTTTACCTATTTCACGTCGCTGGCGAGTATTGTATTTTGTTGATGTTATAAAGATTACCATTTCATTACCAACCAGCGTTTTGGTTATTCCTCATTCAGTAACCCTTTCTAGCTTACAGCAGTTTGTTATATTCACTTACGTGTGAATCCACATCCTCTTTCCCAGCTATAGGTTAATTAGAAGGAATTATCAGTAAATCATTTTTATTCCCAGAAAATTCTTAAAACCTAATTTTTTATAATTTTTTTTATCTATACACATTTGAGGATGCTTGCTCTTGCTGTAAAAATCAATTAAGTCTATACGAGGGAGCGACAAAAAGTTCGTGAAAAAAAGAACAGTATGAAAAAAACAGCTTCACTTATTTTTCAACATATGCTCCATTAAGGTCAATACACTTCTGTAAACTAAGGGTCATGTGTTCTGAACAATGTAAGAGCAGTTCTTTTTATATCTTCAACCGATGGAAAATTGGTAACTTTCAATGATTTTTTTTTTTTAAAGTTTGGAAACAAAAAGATGTCGGATGGGGCTAAATCGGGTCTGTAAGGTGGATGTCGGACGATTTCCCATCGAAATTCACCAAGCATAGCTCTTGTCTTCCGAGCGCTGTGAGCGGATACAATGTCGTGGTAGAAGATCCCGCGTTGATGCAGCTTTCCGGGGCGTTTTTCATTCATAATTAAGTAGATGTAATTATTTTCTTGCTCTCGAAGAGGTCAATCAGAAAAATTCTCTCTGCATCCCAGAAGACAGTGACCATGACCGTTCCTCTTGAACGCTCAGATTTTTCTTTGACTGATCTACTTCTACCCCTGGCCAGCCACTTATAAGAACAGTTTAGGAAGAAACAGTTTCTGGCTTTAAATAACCTGCAAAAGGTAAAACGTAAAACACAAATCAGACAATCAATATTTCGTTCTTCTATAGCCTTCATTAATTATTTTTTACGCTATTTACATTATTCGGACTATTGTCCTCATCTCTGTCGCCATATTTATTACCACGTTTCGACCCGTGTACCCTCCGGTCTTCATCAGGTGGTTGGAATGTCAAACTGAACCCTTTATTTCGCTCACTGGGGTAGACTGTTCTAGTTCCACGTGACATGTTTAATGGGTGTCAGTTATCTCCAAGTTATCCACTGCCATAACCGGGTATTGAACTCAAACTCTTTGGGTCATGGGATCTAACTAACGATAATGTGCCATGTGTCCTTGAGGACATCTGTGTATGAATTTCTGGGTATTATAAACCTAATGTCTTCAGCAACCATTTTTTACCAGTGCTCATATTGCAATTTTAGCTGTTACACCCCATGTTTTTACCAGAGCTCATATTGCAATTTTTGTTGTTATTATCGCTTTTCTCTGGCACTCCTTATTACTGGTTCCCATATTGTATTCATTTCTATGCTTCGGCGGCTCAAGAGATGTTTGTGGCCTAGCATATGTGCTGATTCCTTAAGTTTACGAATTTTCCAATGGTGTCCTTTGTCTATGATCTCAACCTGATCAAACAAAGGGCGGTGTTCTCCCTTTTCTCTCCATTATTTTTTGTAGAACCACTCCTGCCTGGATTGTATATGCCGTTCTCAATTTCAGGCTCACGTAGGGATGGATATGTTTATATATTATTTAGTTGTCTTTAGTTGATCTTCTTTATGTCACTACACAAGATTAATGGTGGCCAAAAATGTATATATAATTAATATTATTAATAATACGAATTATTATTAGTAATAACTAGCAGCATGGCCTGGCGTTGCCCGTGCTTGATTCAAAAATCGTACGACTCATACAGCAATCGCTATCACTTGACTTAAATTATTTTTGCCCTTCCTTGCCTTTAAACAAGTGCCCTTTGCCGTGCTGATGTTGCTACATGCCTTACTTCTTGCCTATCTCACACTGCGAATTTTTTCTAAGCTCTGTACTAAACATTAAATCTGTTACGAAAAAAGAACTAAACAAAATGAACACAAAACGATCAGCTTTAAAAAAGAACTCGTAACTGGAAAAACCGAATGAAAAAAGAATCTTAACAACAAATACTTTTTCACACCAAACCCAGTTCTGCGGAATCAAAATCAACGTTGAGTTTAAGCAAGCGAATGAGCCAACTGGAGTAAAGTGCCATGCAGATTTAAATTTTTCCCACTTGTGACGAATGCAACTATCGATGTTTTGCATGCTAGCATGCTAGTTAATATTCGTATCAGTCAGCTGTTGGCTCTCACGCTGGTCAATAGAATCTTCCTGCCTATTCGTGGCAGCCAGCTATAGGCTATCACTCTGGCCAGTAGAAAATGGCCACAAACTACATGAAATCTTCCGTAGAAGCATGAAAAAATCGATTATTTCCACTATCGATGGGAGTTGGAAAATGCAAAGTCGGTGTTGGCCTTCCCGCAAACTTGGAGTATGTGCATGTAAATTTTGGTGCAAATCCTTCAAAAAGTGCGTCCGTGCATTCGTTACACACACACACATCCTGCCTTTTATAGATAGAGATAGTCGATCGTGGATTTAGGAATACAGGCACACCGTTCATCTTACATAATTTTTCCTTATAGATGTTTTGTTCATAATAATAAAATTGCTGTAATAGTGAAACAATATCTTAATTCATGTTTCGTTTTTTTTTTTATGCAATATTTGCTGCTAACTGAACGGTCGTAAAACGAATTCAGAAAAGGCAAAAGCGAAATGAAGGGGAAAGATAAAAGCAACAGGAACAATGCGAAACAAGAGAAAAAAATGACAGTCATGTCGAAAGAAAATCAAATAAGGCGAGAGAATCAAATAAGGCGAATGAAAAAAAATAAGGCGAGATAAAAGCGACCAGAAATAGAACGAAACAAAAAGTACTATAATAAAAATTAGAGAAAAAAAAACAGAAATAAGGCGAAAGAAAAAAGTAAAAGAAATAAGGCGAGATAAAAGGCAGCACAAGACTACCGAAACAAAGACTAGCAGAAATAAGACGAATGAAAACGCTACATGAATGAAGTAGAATAAAAAACAACAGAAATAAGGCGAAAAAAGCAACAGAAATAAGATGAGAGACAAATAAAATAAGGTGAAAGTCAAAGTATAAGGTAAGAGAAAATCAAATGGAATAAGGCACAAGAGCAAGCCACAAAAATAAGGCAAGAGAAAAATAAAATAAGGTGAACAAAAAGCCACAGATATGAGGCGAGAAAAGGTCAATACAAATATGGCAATAATAAAAGCTACAGACATAAGGCGAGAGAAAAAGCAACGCACATCGAAAGAGAGAGAGCGCGAAAATGTAGCAGAAATAAGGCGAAAGAAAACACTTTAGAAAATTTAAACATATCCCCCATTATATATTCCTTCCGCCAAGTAATATACATGAGCTCTTCAGAAGCCCCCCACCCCGGAATGTGACTTGCCACAAATACATCGTTGTCACCACTTCTGAAAGGCATTAACAACGGCCGAACTGTGTTCACATCCATTTATTGGTCTCTTCAATCTTTCAACGAACACCGATGTATAGTAACGGATATACTTTGTAGCAACATCAATATCAGATGTCATTTTGCCCGGTGGTCATTCGGTAACAATATGTAAAATGGAAAAAAAGTTATGGGTTACAGCTGGGAAGGTGCAACCTCCACTAACATACCTCCAAAGTCATATAATAGAACAAGACGCATTACTTCCAAAACGAGCTTCATATATATATATATATATATATATATATATATATATATATAGAGAGAGAGAGAGAGCGTAGGTAAATGTAAAAGTGAACATTGAAATCAACACTCCAGGGCGACAGACTGTTTCATGCTAGACGCAGTCATCAGGCCACATGTGTTGGTTTTTTTCGACTAGTCGAGAAAAAACTCAACACATTTGGCCTGATGATTGCGTCTAGCATGAAACAGTCTGTCGCCTCTGGGTGTTGACATCAGTGGTCACTTTTACATTTACCTACGCTCTATCCCTGATATTGAGCACTTTATTCCATAAATATAGCATACATTAAAACTATATTTCTTCACATAGATAGATAGATAGATAGATAGATAGATAGATAGATATGAACAGACTGAAATCGACAGCGAGATATAATTATGAGTCTTAGATAGACACACAGATAAATACATTTGAATAATCTGATACAGATAGACATACAGGGAAATAGATATATATGAAGAGACATAGATAGATAGATAGATAGATAGATAGATAGATAGATAGATAGATAGATAGATAGATAGATATGAGCAGACTAGGATAGATAGATTGATATGAGCTGACTAGGATAGATAGATAGATAGATAGATAGATAGATAGATAGATATGAGCTGACTAGGATAGATAGATAGATAGATAGATAGATAGATAGATAGATAGATATGAGCAGACTAGGATAGATAGATAGATAGATAGATAGATAGATAGATAGATAGATAGATAGATAGATATGAGCAGACTAGGATAGATAGAATAATAGATAGATATGAGCAGACTAGGATAGATAGATTGATCGATAGATTGATATGAGCTGACTAGGATAGATAGATTGATAGATAGATAGATAAATATGAGCAGACTAGGATAGATAGATAGATAGATAGATAGATAGGACGGAACAAGCTAATTTAGATAAATACATATATAGATAGCTAGATAGATGTGAACTGACTGATACAAAAAGATAGATAGATAGATACATAGATAGATAGATAGATAGGCCGTAACAAGCTGATTTAGATAAATAAATAGGTAGATAGCTAGATAGATATGAACTGAAACAAATAGATAGATAGATAGATAGATAGATAGATAGATAGATAGATAGATAATTTTGTATTTGGTCAGTAATCGTTCTTTTATACAGGTTTCGTTAAAGACAACTGGCAAGACACTGCGATGAAGCTTTTTATTTAATTTTTCTTGTGTTCATACAAGTGTTTTCGTTTCTGAATAGAAAACGGGTAAAACCTATCCAAAAGTTCTGCATATCCAAACGCTTTCGGATATTCTTTTAGCCATTATCAAGGGCGATTTTTTTAACTGAATGCGTGGGGTCATCATGCATGTGTCTGAAATTATGGGAATGTTTTATTCTCCAAACACAGTCAGCACATTGTTGTCGTGTTCATAGTTAATGTTATTGAGTGTTGGTTTTTCCTTTGTTATTATTAGAGTTTCCATTAGTTTTAATATTATTGTATGTGAATGAGGCTATTATACAAGTATTTTCTACTAGTATGTTTCGGGTGGAGTTTGGTAGGTGTTCGTGTGTGTTTAAATGAGTCCTAATTGGGCTAGGTGTAACGTGAGCCGTCTAGATATATTTGTAGTAGTAAGACCAATATAATTATTTATGAGTTCGGTTTGATCAGGCACACAGTTCCTTAATGGGCATTTGAACTCGTAAATAACTTTGGTTCTTTGTAGTTTTGATTTTGCGTGTTGTTATTTTTTATAAGGTTAGCTGTTCTTTTCTTTTTTTTTTCAAACAGATAATTCCATTTTCTTGTTCAGGTCGAGTAGTGTTGTGTATTTCTTTATGAAGTTTCTAAGAGAAAATTCGTCTTCCTTAAAGTTGAAATGTGTTTGGCTTTTGTAGAATATGTTAATGTCATTATTTTCATTTGTATGTTCAGTATCCTTATTAGTTACTTGAGAAAGAAATAGTCTATTCTGGTGGTCAATAAAGTAATTAGGAAAACCATTGTTAACTAGCGTCTGTTTTACATTATTAAGTTCTTTAAGGAAAAGAGGACGAGAGGATGAATTCTCGTGTGCTCTCTTTAGGAAAGTTTTTATAACTACAATTTTTATATCTAATTGGGAATTCACTCTTAAAATTAAGGTAGCAAGAGTTTCTACTGGAGGTTTTTTTTTTCTATAATGATGTGGTGAATGTGTTGTTACTGAATTCCACAAGGACAGAGTTTTTTGAGAGTATCAATTTATTGTTTGCTTTTAGCTAAAATAAAAATATCATTTACATAACGGACATATATTTTGGGTTTACTGACTTGTTTGAATATCGTGTTTTTTACGTGGGACATGTAGTACTTGGAGAAGGATTGACCGAGAGGATTTCCTATACTAACACTGTTAGTTTGAGTGTAGATATTGCTATTATGAAATGGACTTTATTTGTGCAGGCCTGCAGTATTTATTTATTTATTTGTTTGTTTATTTATTACTAGCAGTAGAGCCCGGCTTTGCACGGGGATGTAACAGTAAGAGATAGATCAAGTATCGACCATCATAAAGACTGAAAAATAAAATTGACAAAGATTATTGTTTCAGGTTGACGGACACGCATGTCTTAATTATTTTTTTTTTTTGTTTTGTTTTTTTTTTTTGTTTTTTTTACGAATTGGTCAAACCCAAACTCAAACAAAAACATTGTTTTCAATCGTTATGAGTCTCCCGATTGAATAGAATTTTATTATAAACAATTGTCTTGTAAATGGAATTTTTAAAGCATTCTGAATGTAAAAATAAAAGAAAAAAAGTGTGCAAGACAATAAAAACACTACCTAAAAAAAAAAGTGAAGTTTTGTTGAAATCGGTTTGAAAAAATGTAGGAAATCCGATCCCATATATAAACAAACACACACACACACACACACACACAAACAAACAACCTGGGTTTTATAAGTATAACTCGATATGAGTTGTCCCCCTTTCCTTCTGGCGACAGAATCGTGTTTTCAAATTGATTTCGTGCAAAAACAATTGTGTTCTTCCACTTTTGGGCGCTGTCAGAACCACCGCAAGGTAATTTTACGCAGTCCTGTGAAGTTTTGTTGAAATCGGTTGAAAAATGTAGGAAATCCGATCCAATATATAAATGTATAGACACACACACACACACACACACACACACACAACCTGCATTTTCTAATAAGTAAGATTTTATATTTACTTTGATGGATGGAAGCTGAATTGGATTATTTTTATACACATAGTTAAGGATTATGTTCATGGTTTGATCGACGGAGACGCTTGTATATAAATTTTCAACGTCGTGTGACCCCAAAATACCTTGATTTGGTTGTATAGCTTTCAGAATTTGAAGGAAATCGTGAGTAGATGTGATGCTGTAATTAGTAGATTGGTATGGAGTAATAATATCGTTAAGGAATTTTGGTAGTTCGTAGTTAGGTGTTGGTATCCGTGAAATGATAGGTCGTAGTGGGTAACCGGTTTTATGTATTTTATATTTCCGTATAGGTATCCCGGTTGGTAGACTGATTTTCTTGATTTCAAGGAACCTATGTCGGCATTGTTTGATGTTATCAGTTTTTTGACGGATCTTTTTAGTGTCTACGCAGTGTTTTTATTTAATTTGGTAAATTCAGATCGGTCGTCGATGATGTGATGGAATTTTCTATTGTAATCGGCTTTGTTCAAAATTACGTATTGGTTAGTTTTGTCGTCTCGTCTGATGTCTCGTCTGATAACGATATTAGAATTGTGTTTTAATTCTTTTGCTGAGATTTTGAGTTTTTTGTTAGGATATTGTTGCAAGGAGAGCGGTCTTTTAAGCCCACTGTCTTGAGATGGTCCCTCAGGTCTGAATGAATTGTTATTACTCCGCCGGTCCCAAGTCGGGATGGTGAGTGATACGGAATTTTAATTTCGGTCATCTTTGTGAGGAGGTCAAATTTAGGTTAGAGATGGCAGTTTGGCTCTAGATTTAGCAATTCTTTCTCGGCTTCTGTTAATTTATGACGAGATAAGATTATATACTTATCACTGCTGTTGTGTCATAGAATGTTTTCATGATATTGTTTGCAAAGCTTTTTTTAAATTATTTTTTTTTTTAGTGTGTAAGTTGATCTTCGTTAATATTTAGGGTGAGGTGGCACTGAGCTTCTTTCTATTCGTGTTCGGTCAAGGCGGTTTTTAGTGTCTCGTTATATTCAATTAAGACTCATTTAAACACAGACGAATACCTATCAATCTCCATCTGAAACATACCTGTAAAAAATACAAGTATAATACTGTAAAAAAAGATAAAAAATAATGGAAACCCTAATAATAAAAAATGGAAAGCCAAGACTCAAATACATTAAGTACGAACACGGCCATAGTGTGCTGACCTTGTTTGGAAAAAAAATTCCCATAATTTGAGACACATATATAAAAACCCACACATCTAGATAAAAATAACAAATAAATAAATAAAAAATGATAATGCCTAAAAGAATAGCCGAAATCGGTCGGATATGCCGAACTTTTGGACAGTCTTTACACACTTTGTGTCCAGAAAAGAAAACACTTGTAAGGTATATTTTCAGTCGTCTTTAAATAAACCTGTATATATAGTGATTTTTCCGAGTTTAGCTAAGATGTGACAAAAGTCCAACAAGTATTTCAATATTTACTGTTTATAAGTTATTTTTATAAATACAAATAGTTAAATGCTCTGTTTATAATAGACAATCTTAACAACATTTACTGGCCTGAATATCCGAGAAACCTCAAAGAAAATATGCGTCCTCCGGCAGGAATCGAACCTGCATTCTACACAGAACTGTCATATAGCTTGACGTGCACAGAGGATGCGTCTAGTTAGCAAGGTTAAAAAACAGGCTTAACAAACATTAATTTGATCCTAACTAGGCCTCGCATATATTAGGCCTTGTGCGACATTTAAGCTATGCTTAGAAAATAGCCATAGTAGCACACCTCGAGGCAATGGTTAGAAAGTTTGTCTCGCTAGAACAATTACGACTGAATAGTGTGTTTGATCCTCACTGAGGGCCCGTAATTTCGGCCTTGCGCCACATCTAAGCTACGCTTGGAAAATCACTATATATATATATATATATATAGTGATTTTTATATATATATATATATATATATATATATATATATATATATACAGAGAGAGAGAGAGAGAGAGAGAGAGAGAGAGAGAGTCAGACAAATAGATAGACAAATATAAGTGTATTAATCCGAAATTATTTCTCATTGATAAAAACATTATATTTAGTGGGGAGATATTAATTAGATTTTCGATTTCTGGGCCGTCAGATGTTAACTGTTTAAAAAAAAATGGATGTTTATTCAAATACGGATATCAATGAAAGGAATTAAGATATATACCTACCCCTTTGTATATGTATATATATATATATATATATATATATATATATGAAGAGTGAGATACACACCAGTACGTACAAATATATATATATATATATATATATATATATATATATATATGGGAAGAGAAAGATAGGTTGAAGAGTGAGAATAGAAAGAAAGACCACCCACCATTCTCAGTAGTGCACTTGTGTCCCTTTCAGTCCGTCTGTGACTGTCTTTGAAGTTGGCAATAAATTGCCATTACATTAAAACATGCGGACCACACAGCATGCCACATCTCAAAGACTGCAAGTTCTTAACACGACACATGAAGAAGCAACTCTGCATTATTGCTTACTTTCGTACATACGAAGAAAACGAGTAAACGTTGTCAGCCTAACCAATACCTAGAATTTATATGTAATGATCAAATTAAAAAAAAAATATATATATATATATATATATATATATATATATATATATATATATATATATATATATATATATATATATATATACTAGACTCGTTTCGAAAAAACCTTGCTAATAATCAAATTAATCTCGAGGAAAAAAAAAAGTTTTTAAAAAAGAAAGAGTTACAAACATGAACTTCTGTCGACAAAAAAATCGTCACCTAAATTTTCAAAAAATTCAACCTTAGCGTTGCGACTGCACGCTCCATAAGTTTGTATCCGTTATCAATAACACTTCAAAAGAAAAAAAAAAACAT